GCCAAGTCTTCCAGGTCTTTCATCTTGGCTTATCCTGGGCCCGACGAACGAGGCCCACTGGTTTATTCATCACGACAGTCCTCGACCCAGCCCATATGGCTGGAAGCCAATGTGGCTACCAACCCTAGTCCAGGACACCATCACCCATCACAGTAGCTCCGACTTCATCACAATCCAAGGTAATCCCACGGACACGCCTGAAAAGAGATAACTACTGCAACCATTGTCGCGTCTTCGACTTCGTTCGCCTACGCCATCTGTCGCGGTTTTGTCACGGCAGATGTCCTCATAAAAGAACAAAGTCATGAAGTCATTGCTACTAGGTGAAGGCTTGGACGGGGTTGATTGGGAAAGAGAGACGCGAGTTTACCCAGGTTCGGCCCATCACGATGGAGGTAATAGCCTACTCCTGCTTGATAGCTATTGATTGTGGTGACCTCAATTACAATGGCACTATTCGCTACCTCTATCACCAGAGCTATCAAAACATATGTCTCGAGAGCTATCAAAACATCTGTCGCGAGAGCTTTTAAACATATGTACCGAGAGCTGTCAAAACATCTGTCTAAAAGCTTGTTCTTCTGATGACCCAGGGACTGCCTTTATATAATAGCCGGATACCTGGGGTTACAAGACGTTCCGGGTTCTACCCACAGTCGGAGTCCTACTCTAAGCCCTCTAGGTCCTCCATGTCTTCCAAGTTGGGGGTCTCCCTCTTGTATTTGGACTCCTTCTGGACGGAACTTTGCCTAGGTCCAGATCCTGTAGCAAGCCGGGTAATGTCCTATAGTAGACCAGGTCATGTAGTAGGCCGGATCTCATCCTGTAGCAGATCGGGTCTCATCCTGTAGCAGGTCGGGTCTCCTCTTGTAGCAGGCTGGGTCTCGTCCTCATAGCCAACTTGTCCCAAGAGACTTACCTATACAGCTGACTTATCTTCAGAAGTGACTTATCTCCAGAGTTGACTTGCAGGCCGACTTATCTCCAGAGATGACTTCACTAGTGCAGAATCGGGTTAGTGTCGGTTCATCACGAACCGGCACTAAAGGCCCACCATATACCTCCTAGATAAAAATATCTATGTCAACTTGATGGGCATAATTTGTCATAAACATGAAATGCAACAAATAGTTACAAAAGAGAATATACCACATCCGAATCCTAAACCGGACGAGGGCCGACGGGGACGGATATCAAAATCATGGCACTATCTATAACAAACTGTACGGGTAAGAAAATTATACAAGTAACTATATATATCTAAATCACACAAACATGATTTTTTTTATATATAAAAATGATAAGAACAATAGGCTCACCAAAGTGGTGCCGACGACGGGACGATGCAGGCGATCGATGGTGGTTAGGACGGGGACGAGAAGGCACTAAGTAAACGACACCTACATATGCAAACTAAGAGTTAATTTGAGCTCAAATTGCATATAAATCAAATAAACTACCACACATAATTACACCCAAACTAAAACCCACAAATCATTATACTTATAGAGCATTGGAAGAGCTAATCTAGCAATGAGAGATGAAAGGACAAAGTTGCTAACCTTTGTGATCACTTGGATGGATGGGGGGCCTTCAAATCTTGAAAAAAATTGGCAAAAATGAAGGATGAGCTCAAGCAATGGGGAAGAACAGAGGTGAGGAAGGAATGAAAGGGGAAAACAGAGAGAAATGGCTCGGGCTCGACAAAGGGGTTATATAGAGGCACCTTTAGTCTCGGTTGGTTATATGAACCGGGACTAAAGGTGCATCTCTAGTACCGGTTCGTGCCACGAACCGGGACTAAAGGTGTTGGTGGGGTCCCAGCCTGACACCAGCCTGTCACCACCTCTTTAGTCCCGGTTCGTGGCACGAACCGGTACTAGAGGTTCAACACGAACCGGGACTAATGAGTGTCGCCCGCCTGGCCGTTGGAACCGACACTAATGGTCACATTAGTGTCGGTAAGTGAACCAGGACTAAACATAAGGTCGTTTTTCTACTAGTGTTATCTCCGGAGCTGACTTATGTCCAGGTCGACTTATCTCCATAACTGACTTATCTCTAAAAAGCTGACTTATATCCAGGTCGAGTTATTTCCAGAGATGATTTATCTCCAGAGTTGACTTATGTCCAGACCAACTTATCTCCAGAACTGACTTATGTCCAGGCCGATTTGTCTCTAGAGATGACTTATCTCCAGAGCTGACTTATGTCCAGGCCGACTTATCTCTAAAGATGACTTATGTCCAGGCCGACTTATCTCCTGATATGACTTATGTCCATAGATGACTTATGTCCAGGTCAACTTATCTCCATAACTAACTTATCTCCAAATTTGACTTATGTCCGGGCCAACTTATCTCCAGGTTGGGTCTTCTCCTCAGGCCGGGTCTTCAGGCACCTGCTGGCTTCTCTTCGTCTTGTTGGCCTACCCGATTGGGTATTCCCCTGACACCATCCTTGCCACATAAGCCTCGATGCCAACACTGGCGCCTTCCCTAGGTCACATTACCGAGGCCCAACTCAAAGGATGAAGCCCTCGACAAGGGAAGTGACGCCACCGTTCGATCACACATGATCTAGTGCGGCAACAATGGAGCGATGCCTCCGAGATGGTCTACGATGCCTGCAACCACCGCCATACCGGTCACAAGGCCAAGGCTGAGATAGGGTCTTCACCCAAGCTCCGACACACCAACCTACTCCGACGTCGGCAAGTCCACCGAGCACCACAACCATCACGACCTAGCCTGCCGACAAAGAACCCCCACCAATGTCGCAACCAACGCACCTCGGGGAGGCCGCAGACAGCCACCCATGAGCAGCCGCCGCCAAATACGCAAACTGCCGACTAGAAACAAGCCACTGGATGCAAGCACGGACCTCTGAGCCCTGCCGAGCACCATGCCAACAGGACCAGAGAAGCAGCACCCGAGGTCAAAAACCAACTTGGTTCCTGGGCACAGCCTTGTGTCAGACGCGCTGCCACCCGAAGGGTGGAGATACCAGACTCGACATACCCGCATCATGCTGCTTCCATCACCTCGACGCTACCCCCTCCCTCTCCCACGCACCACAACACACCCTGCTCCATAGACGGTCGACTCAACACATCAATCCGCCCCTCGCGCCCCCTCCTGTCCCCTGCGTGGTCGCTCCTCACATGGACGACGGCGACGCTGCGCAGGCTTTGCTCGGCTGTGCACCTTCGACGACGACCAAGTGGGAGAAGAGCCGGATTGGAGCGATGGCGGCACCGGTAAGGTTGCTCACGAGCCGTTCCCGGGAGGGACACAGGGAAGTACTGAGAGTATACCTGGGCATATCTCGGGCCGGGCAAAAAAAAGCACAGTGCTAAAAATCCAGGCCCAAGCCCAAGAAAGCCCGACACAGCCCAGCCTGACTACGGCTAAAATTGTGTTTTCTTCAAGCCCGTGCCCGGACCGACCTGTCCATCAGGCTCAGTTTTAGGCCCGAGCCCGGCCCGATGGCATACTCGGGCTCAGCCCGGTCCGGGATTTTTGGCCGGTCCGGGCCGGGCTGCCCATGGCCAGGTATCTGAGAGTGTGAAAACAGATGCATCACATAGTACGGTGGACCTGATTTTTGGTCAAAATTGCAGAGAGCCATTATATCTCACCGCAGTGGTCAAGGTTAGTAGGTTACACGCGTGCGTGCGCACGAGATTAACAGCAATCGTTAGTGTCAGTCCACCGGTGAGCTGGTACGGCTAGCGCGCCCACACGTGTACGTACGTAGCACCAGTCCCCACAAGGCCGCACCCACACAAGGCCCGTTGCTCTCAAGAAACCTCACATGACACGTGAGAGCGAAACACAGGCACGCAGCCCCACCGTGTCCCCATGGCCCTGTTGCGCTGCACACGAGAAGCGTCGTGGTGCGCAGGTAGGTAGGGCCCGCCAAGACAGGGACAAGTGAAAGCGAGCTCCGTCTGCGTCCCAAGCCAACCAACCAACGGACGACTGTTAGTTAGGTTAACCTTCTTTTCTTTTCTTTTCTTTTGATGATTCCGTGTCTCGTTTCTCGTCTCGCTCGCTAGGGTCCAACGGCGACCCTACTGGCAGAGCACTGCATCGGACAACTGCAGCCGCCTGCCGGCGTAACGCATCCGCTGGCTGGTTTCATGAGCAGCGGTTGGTTTGATTGCTTCCGTGTTTTCTCCGTCCGTCCCCCCACATGCCCCCAGTGCCCTGTTCTTGATCACTCCCTGGAGCTGGAGCTGGAGCCGGAGTGTCATCCAGCAGAGGCTTTGTACCGCTCGTCCCGTTGCTTCTTCCTCTCTTGCGACCGATCTCCTGGCCTCGATCCAAAAGAGAAAGGGGAAACGGCAGCGAGAAAGAAACGGCAGCGTGTGGGCTCTTGATTATCTTTCTTTCGATTGATGAGCCCGTCCCCCGAGGCCCGTAGTGGCGAACCCGTGAGCCCGTGACGCACTGCTCCCTCCTGCCCTGCCCGCCGCAGAGCGTCTGCTCTGCTTCCCTCCTAGGCCCTCGATTTAGCTCAGCTCGGTGGGTGCCCTGGTTCCCCCAGGATCGCATTTCTTTTCTCTATTCTCTCTTCCGGCCGGCCGTCCTCTCCTCTCCTCTCCTCAAGCCGGGCGTCGGCGGCCTCCAGCTCCGAGCGGAGGCGGAAGCGGTGGTGTCTTTCTAGACAAGAAACAATTCCTCGGTCTCCACGCTTGCTTTGGACTTTACCCTTTCCTCTGTTCCCCCTGGTTTTCAGCCAGGTACACGAGGCGTCCTCTTGTGGTTGCGGGGGTTTGGTGGGGGTTTGGGGGTCTCGCCTTTCCTGGCGGCGCATCCACGCACCGATTTCCCCTCCTCCCTCCTCCTGCGATTTCGGGTCCAGATTGATTGATTTCCGCCCGGATTGCTTCCATCACATCACTCGCGATCTTCTCCCCTAACCCCTCCTCATCGGGCAGGATTTTTTTCCTTTCTCTCTAGGGGGCTCCGCCCCGCATCTCCCCGCTCCGATCGATGGCGTCGTCCTGCATCCCGACGGGCATCCGGCTGCCGGACCTGGACATGGTCAAGGCGGCGGCGGTCGGGGCGTCGTCGGCGCCGGGCGCGGGGGCGGCGCCGCTGCGGCCGGCGCACTCCTCGGCGTCCTCGGCGCTCTCCGACGCCTCCAACTCCTCCTCGGCCTCCTCGCTCTCGCTCAAGCGGGCGCGCACGCCGCGGAAGCGCCCCAACCAGACCTACAACGAGGCGGCCGCGCTGCTCGCCTCCATGTACCCCTCCGTCTTCCCCGCCGGGGACAGGGCGCCGCCGTCGCCGAGGCTCCTCGGCCTCGCCTCCGCGCTCGCCGACGACCCCTCCCGCGCGGACCTGCTCCCGCCCTTCCCCGTCCTCGGCAACGCCGCCTGCCTCCTCCGCGACGCCGCCGCGCCGCCGACCACGCCGCGGAGCCCCGTCCTCGCCAGGGCCTGCCCGTCGCCGGCGGCCGTCAGCAGCGCCTTCACCGAGTTCCGCGACTCCGCGCCGTCCCCCGGGACCCCTGACGGCGCCGCCGGCGCGGACGGGCCCGGGGAGCTCGACTATGAGGATGATGACGACAGCTTTGACGCAGACTCTTTCCTCCTCGGCGGCCTCGACGAGGGCGCCGCCGCCGAGGGGATCGATGGCATCATGGGCAAACTCAGTATGGAAAGCGGCAGCGATGCCTCTTCCATTAACCGTGTCCTCTCCAGCTCCGGCATAGACCCCTACATCAGAAACCTCATGGTGCTCGGACTCGGGTTCCGGCGCTCCCGGTCCAACATCAAGCAGGCGCTCAAGCGGCATGACGATGACAGCGAATGGTGGATGTGCCCTGCCATTCCATTGAAGGACATTATGCCGGCGCCTCCCCCATCGATGGAACCACCGCCGCCGGTGGAGAAGAAGAAGAAGAAGACTAAGAAGAAGGCGTTGAAGGACATTGCCGCTGGGCCGTGCATTACATGTGTTAAGGAGGAAATTCCTGACCCTGCTTATGGGGATGATGGAATTTTTGGACCGAAGGCGCCCAAGACAGGATTGGGCCTGAGCCTCAACACTGAGGAGGTGCTGAAGGCGTGGTATGACAGAGGCTCCGTGTTCGCTGACGGCAACATACCTGATGCATCATCCACTGATGGGCTGGTAAGAATTTCTAGTTTCTTTAGATAGATATATATAAAAGGTATTCCTGTTCATGTATCCCTGGCACAAGTGATCGATTGAAATACCTGCACTACATCACAACTTAATTATGGGTAGCTGCTGGTCTCTGTTAGTGAAAAAAATCTTTCAGTAAAACTAATTTGTCAAGTACTATACGATAATTTCAACTTCTCGGCACATTTATTAACGAAAACAGTGCATCACATCCAAGTGTTTAATCATTTGGAGTGTGTAGATGGAAGAAGGAAAACAAATCTTCAATCCACATTGCCCTGTGCAGTTGTATCTAATTTTAATCTACTTAATGGAGATCCTTCACAGCTGTTTCATATGCAATACTACAACTACAAGCATTACTACCCATTGTAACTCAAAATTCCATTATCTTATTCTAGTCTAATATATCTCCTTGAGTTATAATCTTCAGGAAATGCTTCTTCCACTGAGCCTGGATTATCAGAATATTAGTAATACATCCTTACAGAATGAATACATGTTTGCATCAGTCTAATCAGGACAAGGAAAAATACAACAAAAGAATATATATTTTTCACTAGCATGAACACCAAAGAAAGACTGTTTTACCAACAACTAATTTCGGTACCTCTGTCTATTGTTCATGTGATTTTGTTGAAATACTCTTTAACAATGGTAAATGCACAAGAAAAATGAGCTTTATAACAACTATAGGTTAATTGAACCGTTCAGTGAGTTATAGCTTATCTCAATTGTATCACATTGGATAACTGGATACCTTGAGGCATGCAACGGATCTCTTTCTTTTTGTTAGGCAGTGGTTGGGCTCAAACTGGTGCTTTTGGACTCATAGGCATATGTACTGTGGCATATTATATCCCGTATTGGCTTGACCTTTTCTACCTGAAGATTTCCTTAACAAGTGGCAAATGTATTTTTCTACTTCTTTGCTGTATTGCACCTATCAAAAATAGATCATTTTTAGATGATTTTTTCTACTGTCAACTATATATGGCACTTGCATTATTTCATAGATTTATTGTTGCTGGGAAACATGTTCTACACAGCCATAAACTGCTTCAGCATGCTCCCCTAAAAGAACCTACTTCAGCATGCTGAAGACCATGTTGTGAGCTATAAAGCCTACAACTCTTATGTAGCCTATTTACTAAAGCAAAGAAATATCTTGCACTGACTAGTGTGTATCCTTCGTTTGCAGGCTAAACTTTCAGACATTGAACTGTTTCTAGAGAATGGTGCTGCTGGTGCTATCAGGGAAGGCAGCATACAGAAATTGAAGCACAAGCAGAAGCAGTGCACTCCCCTCCTCTCAAATAAGACTCGGTACCAAGCACGGAAGGTGCACGCCGAGTCTCGTCCTCGGGTCAAGGCAAGCACCGGAACTCATTCTTGAGCACATAAATTTTTGCAATGCCAAAAGCTCACTGTTGCAACCCAAACGCCGCTGAGTTTTGGGCCCTCGAAAGTAGTGTAGTTTGTTGAAGTTTGAAAAGAGCTCGTGAAGGTTCTCATGCTCTGCTTTGGTTCTTGCAGGGGAGGTTTGTCAGCCAGGCGGCTCTTCTGCAGAAAGCCGCGGAGAAAGAGACCTAGGGGAGGACGTTCTTGCTCCCATGAACATTCTGTCTTGGGATTTCATTTCATTCCCCCTAGAAGTGAAGCAGATGAGGGCTTCTTTTCTTTTCTGCACTTATGTGATCATGTAGAGAGGGTAGAGATTGCCTGTAGAGTGGCTTCTTTGTCAGGGGATAGCTGCTGGTTAGTTTCCCAGCTCAGATGCTGCCGGGGCAAAGAAGGCCGTAAGCCAAAAACTTCGTAACAATGGTACAGTGCTGTGGCAATGACCAAAGTGCTTCTGTACTTTGCTTCAGTCTTATGCTCTGAACTCTCTGAAGGAACTGCACCGGGTGCTAGTTTTGTACAAAACTGAACCTGCAAAATTTGTTAAACTTCAGGGAGCATTTGATTCGCAAGAATTCTAAAGCATGTGAATAGAAAGAAAGAAAAAGTAGGATTAGAATGTCATGTATGAATCCTTGGTCTGCAATACTTCGGAGGAAAAAGCAAGGCAAGATGTTTGAGAAGTAGGATTGGAATGTTATGTATGAATCCTAGGATTGGAAAACATCATAGGAAAAACAAAGCAAGGTGTCAAATCCTCTAAATTCTTTTGTGAAATTCCTTTTAATCAAAGGACCATGTATTTTTCGTATCTACCGTGTCATCAGAATCTTTAATCACATAGGACTTATTCGGTTGTGCGCATCGATTTTGCCTGCATTGCATGTGATTCACAGATGAGCCTATATCACATGCTGAGGAAAAACAACCATCATTCTGCACATAGTTTGGTTGCTCGCATATAGTTTAGCTGCATGAGGGAACTAAATTTTACCCGCACTAGGTGCACATATCACACGCTGTTTGGTTGCAATCTGCATAAGGTGTTGTCACCATTTGTCATTAGTGGTGACTTTACCACACACGATCTGAACAGTTTCATTCCTAGCTACGAAACAAATTACGGTTCATCCTAACACTATCAAATGACAGTACACATTATTAAGAGCCATATCGTTGAATAGGGGAAAGTTCATCATCGATGCTAACTAGTTCTTCGTCTTCCTCCTCCTCCTCTTCTGCTGCTCTTCCTCTTCTTCTGTTGCTGCTCTTGCTTTTCTTCTTCTTCTTCGGATCCTTGTCTGACCTCTGTCATCCCATATTCCCTGTGCCCACTCCATCCTTTTTTTCTTTTAGGCTTCGTTGCCAAATGCCTCCAAACCATGGATAGAGCTGACAACATCGTCAGGCGTCACATCTTCCTCCTCGGGCACCAGTTCATCACAACCCCATTGCAGGATTTAGTTATGCAGAATGCTACAAGCAAGAACAAGCTTGACCTAGGTAGGAAAAGTGTGGAAAGTGTGGAATGGCTTTTGATCTAGGATCTTAAACCCGTTCTTCACAGCTCCAAAGCCCTCTCAACAGTAACTCTAAGGCTGGAGTGTCTGAGATTGAACAACTCATGTGGAGTCCTAGAATAGTGTCTACCAGCGAACTCGTTCAAAAGGTACATGATTTTCCTGAAGGGTGGAAGAATATCTGACTGACATGCATAGCCAACATCTCCTAGGTAGAATTTGACATCGGGGAAGTTGATGCCATCAGGACAACTCATGTTGTCCCTAAGAATGTTAGCATCATGTGCTGACCCTTCCCAGTCGGCCAACACATAGGTGAACTTCAGATCGAAGTCAATAGCAGCAAGCACATTCTGACTTGTGTAGTGCTTCCTCCCCCTATATGCTGCAAATTGAGACTTCGGCACTTTTGACAGTGACATGAGTACCATCTATTGCCCCAATGCAATCCTGAAGGGGCAAATGAAGATTGTGTTAGTGCTCACCTTGAACAATACAAGCATATCAACCCATGAAGCACATACAAGCCGAGTCAGTGCTCAGCCTGAAGTATGGATACCATCTTGGGCTAGTGCGAATCTTGGTAGGAGTCCGAACGGTCGGTGACTTGATCATTTCTCCTCTGAGCTCCCCAGCAGCATAAAGCACTTGCTTGAAGTACCTTGAGATGGTCTCCATTGATCTCCTAAACGTGTTGTGCATAACCTAAACTTCTGGTTATGGCTAACAACATGAAGGAACATGGCCACTTGCTCTTCCATGCTGGTGTGGATGCTATCTTGTAGTAGTCCCCTGCTCCTGAAGGTCCGGACAGGTCTGGCAAATGGTGCTCTTTTCATTCGAAGCATCCATAGGGCTTATGTGTCCTTGCAGTTGTAGATGTAGTTCAGATTGGCGATCCTCTCCTGCTCCCACGTAAGCATTGGAGCATAACCGATGACAGGTCTCTCACCAAGACGAACATCTCTCCTGTGCATGAGCAAGAGCCATGCCTGAATCACAGCCATCAATGCTACTGCCTGAACTACCAGCCTCATCCGTGCGTCCATAACCTAGTCAACATCGAGGGTCCGTTGAGCAATGGGGAAATCGATCCTAACAACCGACCTAACATAGAGG